AATTTGTCACCAAATTTTTATTTTTTTATTTATCAATTTCTTGTTCTTTTTATATAGACACTACTAAACAGGAACATGTCTGTATAAAGAAGCATTTATATTATAAAAAACCACAATCTGTTAATGTAAGTAGCTTTCCAATCTAAAGCTATACATATAAAAAGTTCATTCAGCACCAAAACCTCAAAATGAACAACTATTTACTTGCAAGTTTCTCTATACATGGATCTTCAAGCATTCTTGTGGGACTATGATGTCTTTGTTTACATGACCAAGCTGCTCCTTCTAGTCGTTAAGCGTTTGTAGTGAAGAACCTAACCAAATTAAGAGAAAGGAGTTTGTCAAAATAATCTTGATGAAGAGTTTGTCAAAATCGTTAAGCGTTTGGAGTGAAGAACCTGACCATTATTCTCATCAAATTGGTTACTCATTTAAGCTTTAATAAAACAAAATAAAAATTCCTTGTAAGGTGCTCCTGTGATTGATCATAATCAACCACAACATAAAAGTTTTGGGTGTGCCTACGGTGACATGCATGTCACGGTGACTTGCACTTTCCGGTCGACCTCAGTTAGGATTAGGTCGACCTCATTTAGAATTCGGTCGACCTCATATAGGATCTGGTCGGCCTCATTTAGGATTCGGTCGACCTCATATAGGATCAGGTCGACCTAATCTGTTGTTTCAGTGTAAAAACAATTCATGGTGACTATTTTGGATATTCATATCATACAATTGGCTAGATGGAAATTGACGAATAATGACTTGTTTTGAAGCTGGAGTGTCCCTCTACATATTGAAGTGGAAGAGAGCTCGATAGGAATTCCAGAAGACCATTTTTGAACCTCATCAAAAGGCTATGACGAAACCGGGAAATTGCCTGGAAATGGCTAAGTCTGGAAACGTGTTTGTGAAGCCTATTTTGTAGCTCAATTCGAGAAGCATGAATGTGAGTCGAGTCCAAGAGCCTCTACCACGTTAAATTAGGTATGTTTTTTTTATACAAATTCAAGGCATTGAATGAAAGATTGGATATCTGTAAGGCTTCAAACAAAAGGCTCGAAGTTGCTACGAAGGCTGTTTTTCCTGCAGCTTTCGTAGCAACTTCGACCCTTTTGTTTGAAGCCTTAAAGATATTCGATTTTTCATCCAATGCCTTGACTTTGTATAATAAAATACATAATTTAACGTGGTAGAGTCCCCTGGACTTGACTCGCATCCATGCTTCTCAAATTGAGCTCCAAAGTAGGCTTGACAAACACGTTGCCAGACTTAGCCATTTTCAGGCAGTTTCCCAATTTTGGCATAGCCTTTTGGTCAGGTTCTAAAATGGTCTTCTAGACTTTCTATTGAGCTCCCAAGTACTTTAATGTGTAGAGGGACATTTCAGCTTCAAAACAAGCCTTTAATCTCCAATTTCCATCTAGCCAATTGTAAGATATGAATCTCCAAAGTAGGCACCATGAAACTGTTTTTACACTGAAACAATAGATTAGGTCGACCTAATCCTATATGAGGTCGACCGAAAAGTTCATGTCACCGTGACATACATGTCACCGTAGCAAAGTCCAAAAGTTTTATGGGAGACATAAGAGAATCAATAGTTAATCTCATCAGAACTAATTAATTCAATTCCCACCTTCATAACTGGGAAGATTAACAGTGACTCAAATTTAAAGCCTGCAGTTACCTTTAAATAAGTGCAACACATAATGCCTTCTGACAGTTCGATTATAATCCTTATACAATAACACTTACGTACAAGTTGATTTATACTAATAAGTAACCAAAAAACAGGTTAGCTTTCATGAGACAAATTTAATAGGTAAAGTATCCAACAAAACAACTTACTATTTAGTGAATGTGAACCAATGAATTCTGCTGCTTGAGAGCATTTCCACCTCTGCAATGAAAGACATACTTGAACTCGTAATTCAACACACTAAAATGAGCTAGCATGAATTTTGGAAAGCAATACATATTACTTTGCTGCCTCACTCAATCCCCTTTTCCTTCCTACTTTCCTAAGTCACAACACACCTCCCCTGCCAATTAACAAAAATAGTCTTAATTAAGTACTACATAAATCACCTTTTTTATGAACATACACCGGGAAAAAAATGAGTACGGATAAATTTTTGAGAAGAAGTCGTTCTTGATCCACATGCTCTTCTGAAACATATTTAAATTGGATGAAAACCAAGGACTTCTCTCCATTTGTGTCCATACCAGAACAAAGAGATTTCCATAAGAAGAAAACATTACATTAACAAACCTAAGCTAATTCGAACATACAAAGAATGATGGGTTTGAAAATCTCCCTGCCATTCTTCATTGCAAGTAAAAAAGATTTCATAAGTATAGCTCATTCTTTCTCCAATCCAATGGATCTAAAAAGCCTAGATAACAAGAATCGGAATAATGAAACTCAAAGGCAGCACACTATGTAATCAACATAGATACCCAACTTGTGACTTCACAAGATTTCATAAGTATAGCTCATTCTTTCTCCAGGATACTTCCATTTGAGGACCCTTGGCTCAAGACCCAACCCATCATCTCTTTCAACCCAATTATTGAAGACCCCATCTCCAAGATTGAGTTAATTTGTACCTCTTTCTGCAATTTAATTATTCCACTTTTCCCTACCGATTCAATCGACCCATCCTAGCACCGACATGAAATTTGGGGGAAAATGCCTAACCTGCCAGAGTCATCGCCAAAAACCTCCTCTCTTCATCGGTGTAAGGTTGCTACCAACCTCAACACCGAATTCATTATCATAACGACAAATCATCAACTTTACCTCATCAGATCTGACTTCAGCTAGAGCCTGGAGCTTTCGACCCATGGCGGCAACCGTGGAGGACCAACTACCGATCGACAACCAAAGCGACAACCAAAGTCCTTCATCTCCGATATCGAGCTGCGAGGGGAAGCGGAGGAGGTGGGATATTGAGGTTTATTCAATCTCTCCCAAGATGTGGATACGATTTCAGAGGTCAGGAAGTTGAAGAGAATGGATGAAGTTGGGAATTAGCTGCTAGGGTTGGAACTTGGAAAGATATGGAGGAAAGAGAGCGAGTCTCATGTCTATTGAGATGAGAAGAATGGAAACGACACCGTACTTTATAAAAGGTAATATATAAAATTATAAATATTTTTATTCTTAATTTCAGGGACACTGAGCGACGTACTTAAATTCGTTGCGTAAAATAGTTAATATCATCGCGACAGAACTTTTCGTCGCTAGAAACAATTAAAATTGTAGCGACGAAAGCTTCATCGCAGATGCTCTCCAAACATTTGGCGACACCCTAATTCGTCGCCTAAAATCTAAATTCTCATCGCAAAAACCTCTTTATACTTTCATTTTTCGAGTTGCACAATTGGCGACGAAAGTGTATATTTCGTCGCAAAAAGCACATCTTTAGCGACGAAATTCGTCGCCATGAATTTCGTCGCAAAAAACTTGTTTTTTTGTATTGATCCTCCATAGTGCTACACTACCTCCCTAGGTTGCATATTACTATAAAGACTATCAATTTAAAAGCACACTGAGCAGGCATTTGCAAAGGACACACACTTGGAGCCCTCAGATTTAAAAATTTGGACAGTGGACTAGGCTCCAAGCACACATACAGCCGAACATTCACACGCATACATAATCGAACATTCCTTAGAATAGATAAGTCGGAAAGGAGAGAGTTTTTTTAAGTTGGGAGAATCTGAACTCTGAAGAGACGTCTAAGTTGATCTAATAAGGAAACGTTTAGTTTTCTAATGGGTTATAGGTATAATATGGCTCTTTACTATGTCATTTTATCAAGCATGTCCCTCTACTATTTTTTACATCAAACAAGTCCCTGTATTTTTGAAAATAATCAAACATGCCATTCTGTTAAAATTTTCATTGAAAAAATCATCAATCATGGTTGAACCGAGATTTTGACTACCCGACATCGGCAAATAGGAGGAAAAATGTCAGTTTTATTCTCTGTTTATTTCTCTGGGTCTCGTCAAAGTGAAATTATTAGAATTATTTGGTTATACAAAAGAACCAAAAAAATTCTAAAGGGAATTTCTTAGGGATATTTTAGACATTTGTGAAACTCTAACAAAAGTTTGGCCGTGGTTAACAGTTTTTGGATGAAAATTTAATAGAAAGACATGTTTGATCATATTTTCAAAGTTAAGAGGTATGTTAGATGTAAAAAATAGCAGAGGGGCAAGTTTGATAAAATGACATAGTAGAGGGGCATATTATACCTATAACCCTTTTCTAATTAAGAGTTGGGAAGATAAATGCTAAATTGCTAATCACGCCGGTTCATAATAACTAATTCTTTCTAAATGAGAATTGTCGATTTTATCTTTTCCTTTATTTGTGTTTATCTCTTTCTTGAAAAGCAAATTGAGACGTGAAATTACCAAAAATAAATATTCTTACGAGAACATTCGTTAAATGTTGCTTAAAGTATAACAATATGCAATCCAATAGTATAATTGTTGTGTATACTAGAGCAAACGTAACAAATAACTTATTGGTTGCCTAAACTACCGAAAAGCAACTAAAAAAAAGGGTTGTCATTGTTTATTTAATGCAACTCTTTTAATTAGTGTTGCAAGAAAACATTTTTCCCGTGTGTCAGCGATACTAATTTCGAATTTTTGTAATGACGAAATAAAAAAATTTCACTAAAAATTTCAACTGGACACACCTCCCCACTTTACTGGATTATGTGAGGAGAGCAGCGAACGTCTTCAACATGTCCTAATCATAGTAGGAACAAATGACGTACGTAGAAAAAAGGTTTGGAATGTTACAATAAGATACAAGTAAGAAAAGATGATGATGATTATGATATATATATAATTGTAATTCGAAGATCAAAATTTTATCTAACTCACAGCTAATATAATTAGATAAGTCATGCATTACACATAAATCCATCTCCAGACTCCAGAGACATAGTACTTATTATTAATTATTTCCTAATCTAAAACTCATAACCAAAAGAAGCAGCAGCAGCCGCCGCCGGAGCAACAATCTCCGCCGCTGCTGAAGTACCATCACTCGCCGCAATACTAGTATTAATATTATTCTCACTATCCGTTCCTTCCTTCGTCCCCTCCACCACCTGTTCCTCCTCCTCCGATGCCGACGGCTTCGGCACCGCCGCCGCCGCCGCCGCGGCGCCGTACAAGGTGCTCAGTTGGTGAAAGTACGGGCACGTCCTTGAATCGGCGGACCTCTTCTTGTTCAAATCTTTCGTCTTCCTGAAATACTTGTTTATGTTCTCCCACTTCTCCTTGCACCTCTTGGCGCTTCTCCTGTAGCCCAATTCCGCCATCCCCCGCGAAATCCTCTCCCAAAGCGGCGCCTTACTATTACTCCCCGCAGCCGCCGTCGGCGTTCCTTCACCTTCCGTGTTGTTGTGGTTGTGGATTCCGCATCTCAGATTTATCAGCGCCAGAACCTCGTCTCTCGGCCACCTCTTCCCGACCTCCTCCTTCACCGAGCTTCTCCCTCGATTCTCCTCCGATTCGCCGGATTTTCTAGGGTTTCGAGATGAATTTGGGGGAATGCTTTTGCTACCGACGCCAGTCACTGCGCCGGGCTCTAATTGGGAAAGTTCGTCGGCGGACGAATTGTTGTTAGGGTTTGCAGCCGACGAGGACGACGAGGTGGAATTCCGATTACTATTGCCGTCCTTGTCGCCGGCGGTGGCAATTTGGATCTGGTAGTCAATCATCCCCAGCGGCGGCGGCGGAGCAGAATTAGTCACAGCGTTAGTGAGGGCGGCGGTGGTGGTGGTGAAATTCTCGAGGAACTTGATGATGGAGGCTTGGCGGTCGCCGGCCAGGGCTTGCTGGTCGGCCCGGAGCTGGAGCTCGTGGTTGATTCGATCCATCTCCCGCTGCTTCCAGGCCTCTTCGCGGGCGAGCTTCTCTCGGTCCCTTCTCACCATGTCCTCTATCAGCTTGTTCTGCATCTCTTCCTGCTGAGCCATCATCTTGTCCACCATCTCCTGGCACAAACCTTTGAACATCTCGAATTTCTCCTCCTCTTCTTCTTCTTCCTCCTCTTGTCTCCTTTTCCTCTTCTGGTTTCCGTTTGAGGCCGCCGATGGAGCTGCATAATCCTCTCCTTCTTCTTCTTCTTCTGTGTCATCCTCGTTGCTTTCCACAGTGGGTCGATCTTGATGCTCATTTTCTGCTTGATTTCCTGCTATTGGTGCGGTGCCTGGTTTTGATTCGTGTTCGACTTCAGCATTATCATGGGCATACTTGTTCTGCTGCTGTTGATTGATGCAGCCATTTTCATCATGATTAGGGAAGTAACTATGATTATTGGTGCCGTGGATGGAATTGAGGAATCTGGTTTCTTCTTCAAATTTCTCTCTGCATTTCTCGGGGCTTCTCTTGAACCCAACCTCTGATAGCTTCCTGGTGAGACCACCCAAACCCAAACCCACACCATTAGTGAATAATAAATGTGTTGCAGTGAAGCAGCTAGCTCAACCAATTACTGTTTTTTTTTTTTGTCCAAGCATTTAGTTACTGTGCCACCACTCTGAAAGCACACAGAGCTTTAAATATGTATGCTGTTTTTATAGACATGGTGTGTCAGTGTAATTAATGATTTTTTTTAGTAGAGGAATCAGGAAAGGAAAGAACCCTATGACTAGCTAGATTAGCTTTAGCTTTACTGCTTAGCAACTAGCTAGATAGGCAGAATCATCTTTGGTTTCAGGAGCTAGAAAGGGGGATAGGATATGTACTGGGGCAAGCATGAATTTCATCAACAAAAAGAAGAAAACATTCCCAATAGTTAAAGGAGTACTATGGTACTGATAAAACTGTAATGAAATAAAAACCAGTTTGTTTGTTTGCTTTCTGATATTATAATAATATAATGCTTTTGTTGTTGTTGGTGTTGTTGTTGTTGTTGTGTGTATTTTACCTTGAAACATGCTCCCAAGTGAACTCAGGTGGAAACCAGTTCAACTCCATGGTTGACCTGATCCTCAAAAGGGCAAGAACTTCTTCATTAGACCAAGCTTGGGGATGCTCCGTAATTATCTTCTGCTGCTGCTGCTGCTGGTGGTGGTGGTGGTGATGTGGGATCACAAAAGTTGGCATTAGCTCTCTGTCTTCATGGTGGTTCTTGACATTGCTTCTGGTACTGTTGGCAGTATGATTCAGTGGGTGGAAGAAGTTGGGCGGGTGCGGGAGTTGGTAAGGGTCAAAGCCGATGGGGAAGACAGCAGCTGGTGAAGGCGATGGAGAAGAAGGATGAGGAGAAGCGAAGGAGAGATGGAGAGGGAGATGGGGCGATGGAGAAAGAGAAGAAGGAGGAGGAGGAGGAGGAGGAGGAGGTGGAGGGTGAAGTGTTGTTGTGGTGGTTGAAGGATTACTAGTAGTAGCCAAGATGAAAGGGTGGAATTGCTCTGGTGCTACTCCTTCAAACATTTCACTGTCTTGCTTTTCCTTCCTTTTCTTCTCTTTTTGTTGTTGGGGGGAAGTGTCTCTTTAGGCTATAGTAAGCTATGGCCTTTTTCTATCTCTCTCTATCTCGCCTGTTTTCGGTTTTTGCCTGTATGTCCTCTTTCTCCTTACAGTGTCGCACTGTAAAACAATGAGACAAAAGAAGGAACAAAAATTTTGGGGAGAGAGAGAGAGTAAGGAAAAGGTTGGAGATGCACACACTCACTGCTGCAAGACACTAGACTACAAAAGCCTTACCAAACTGCCTATGTGCGTGTGAGTGAGTTTTCTCTCTCTTATTTATAAAGGAATTTGTCCCTTCATGAGGGTGGGGTTAGAGGTAGAGGTAGAGGGAGGAAGGAAGGAAGCCCACCCACCACGCCCATTTGCCCCACGAACAAGGGTAGCTGGGAGACTATACCCAGCTAGTACCCACAGCAGCCACAGAGCTGTCCCAAATTTATGTGAAAAGTTGAAACAAAAAACTCTGATTTTAAAGAGGGTATCATTTGCATTAATCAAGAATTGGGTGGTGGTATGGCTAGCTCATGTTTGGTTTTGAGATCCATCACAAATTTTCTGCATAATTTTGGTGTCCAATGTAGCGATGACGACGACGAGTGATACTTTTCTAAGTGAAAGTCAATGACAGATTGTTATGATCATTGTTTAGAAGGATGGATACAACTTGAATTGGATGGTTAAGTTAATTCGTCAATAGGGAAAGCTGCAACAGGAGGCCTCTTTCAGAGATCATCATTTGGGACATTGTTTGAGAGAGCTTTTGTTCGTAATTTTGTGACCTGCTCCCGATTCCAAGAGCAGAGCTTAAAGGTGCCGCCGAGGGATTTAAGATGGACTGGGAAAGAGGATAAAGAAACATAGATCTCAAGCTTTGATGATTCTACAACTGCTATCAACATAATTGGAAACAAAAGGAAAAAAAAAAGGCAATTTCAAACACGATCTCCTTGCTAAGGAAATCAGCAAACTCCGATATCTTGATTGGAATGTTTCCATTTCTCATGTGTATAGGAAAAGCAATTATGCTGTTGATTTCTTGGTTAGCAAGGGACATAATGTTAATTTTGGTACACATCCCTTCAATGTGTGTGCGATCCAAACCTTTGCTTTTGATTAAGTTACGATATTATGGGGATTACCAGATCCATTTAAAAAAAAAGGGGGGGCAAGTGAGGAAGACACATGGGTAGGTGAGAGTGGGGGAGGGAGGGAGGGTTTTGTGGTTGTCAAATTCAGTGATTCAGAATCCAATGCAGGAGCAGAAGGAGGAGCAGCAAAGACAAAGAAAGCAGGAGGAGCAGAGAAGGGTGATGTGATGATGATGGTGCAATTAACGGCAATGGGCATGGCAGGACACGTGAATTCATGCAGGTTGCAGAAGCAGAAGCACAAAATCCACGGCCCCACCCCTCGCTCGCCCTCCGTCAGCATCAGATAGATAGGGACCAAATACTATAATAATCAATGACTTTCCCCTTTCTTTCTCTTCTTCCTTTCTTAAATAATAATAATAATAATAATAATAATAATAATAAGAAAAAGACTCGGCAGAAGAAGCAGAGAAAATGAAATCCCCCTCCCCACAAATATGCTTTTATTACTTGCATGAATATACACTACAGGCAGACTAGAGCAGCGCCAGCCCAGTCTCAGAGAGAGAAATTGGTCTCTGGCGACTTTGATATATTTTTACTACTTAAAAATTTAAAAAGAGGGACAAAACAAAACAGCACCGCGCAATGTATTCCATGTGGGACATGGATTCTCAAGGTGTAAATATAATACTACAATTACAATACATCAGCATCATGCAATTGAGATTACTGATTGAATATTATCAATTAATCGGAGAATATTTGCTATCATAATTTTGATTGGGTATGAAAATAATTCAACTATAACCGTATAGCAATGTTGCTAAGTTATATATATATATATATATATATCATGCATATAGAATTTCATAACGAAGATACATGCAAATATATATTTTTTTTCGTTGAATCAGTTTCCTTTCCATTAAAAACGAAACAGTGAGACCAATTAGTCTCACCCAAACTGATTACAACGAGGGGCAAATCCCAGTATGAAATACAAACATATATTATCCGAATTCATAATTCCACTATTTTTCCTTAAAGAACTTTATTCCCTTTAATATCCAAGGTTATTGAATAATTCATCTCAACACAGAGCAAACTTACTTCTTTGGTGTAGTAGTTCCTCAAAACCCTAAATCTGGACAAAACTTGATAAACCAGAGTGGATCACCCGACTCTTGGTTTAAATAGTGTTTGAAGAGAAGAAAAACAACAAAAAAGAGTATTTTAAATACTTTTGGAAGAGAAGAAATGAAACAAAAAAAGTATTTTTGGTAGAGAGTAGATGGAAAGATCACTGCACAAAACTGTGAACGATTTCGAACTTAAGGGATGGCAGTTTGCTGACCGGACAACTTATTTGGTTTGGCAGAGGGTGACAGTTGGACTCGAGCCATCCAAATAATGCCTTGGTTTGGTTAGCAGATGGTTGTTGATCCAAGTAATGCTAATTGGGCAAGAAACCAACACATTTAGTATACTAATAACATTTTATCAATCTTAAAATGAATGAAACCGAAGCTAGAGCTGAAGATGAGCGAGCGACAACGACAACATGAGGGTCCATCTGCTTATGCTCCTTTTGAGTAGTCTTAGTGGGCTTCTCTTCTTAAATACCCAACTTCCATCCCCACATTTCACTCATATGGTACAAATGAGCTCAGATCTCACTTCTCTTGATTCTCATTCACATTCACATTCACATGAAAATAACCAACAAAGAATACCACAACAATTCTACAAAATCCTTATATAATTTATCACACTCAGGTGGTTGAAACCTCTACACCCTATGCATGCCACTTTTAAGCTCATCTATCTAGGGGTGCACGTGAGTTGAATGGGTTGTTTTAGGCCTTAATAATAAGCTGATCCAAATGTACCATGTAGAGAATAAATAACTTAGATGCAATCATAAAAAAAATAAAATTCAGCTTGTAAAAACATAGTTTGGATGGGCCGATTGGTATCATATATGTTCAGTTAAAACAAAGTAACATTAAAAAATGCAGTCTCGAAGAGGAATTCCGATTTCAATATAATATCTTTAAAGAGAAGAAAAGCAACAAAAAAGAGTATTTTAAATACTTTTGGAAGAGTGGAAAAGAAACAAAAAAAATTATTTGTGGTACAGAGTTGATGGAAAGATCAGTGCACAAAACTGTGAACAATTTCGAACTTAAGGGATGGGAGTTTGCTGACCAGACAACTTATTTGGTTTGGTAGTGGGTGACAGTTGGACCCGAGCCATCCAAACAATGCCTTGGTTTGGTTAGCAGATGGTTGTTGATCCAGGCAATGCTAATTGGGTAAAAAACAAAACATTTAGTATACTAATAACATTTTATCAATCTTAAAATGAATGAAACAGAAGCCAGAGTCGAAGATGAGCGAGCGACAACGGCAATATGCGCGTCCATCTGCTTATGCTCCTTTTGACTAGTCTTAGTGGGCTTCTCTTCTTAAATACCCAACTCCCATCCCCACATTTCACTCATATGTACAAATGAGCTCAAATCTCACTTCTCTTGATTCTCATTCACACAAAATTAATCAACAAAGAATACCACAACAATTCTACAAAATCCTTATCTAATTTATCACCCTTAGGTGGCTGAAACCTCCACACTCTATGATATTTCACTTTTCAGCTCATCTATCTAGGGGTGCACGTGAGTTGAATGGGTCGTTTTAAGCCTTAATAATCAGCTTATCCAAATGTACCATGTAGAGAATAAAAAACTTAGATGCAATCGTAAAAAAAAAAATCCTACTTGTGAAAACATAGTTTGGATGGGCCGATTGGTATCATATATGTTCGGCGAAAACAAAGTAACATTAAAAAATGCAGTCTCGGAGTGGAATTCGAATTTCAAAATAATATATTTAAAGAGAAGAAAAACAACAAAAAAGAGTATTTTAAATAGTTTTGGAAGAGAAGAAAAGAAACAAAAAAAAGTATTTTTGGTAGAGAGTTGATGGGAAGATCACTGCAATAAACTGTGAACAATTTCGAACTTAAGGGATGACAGTTTGCTGACCGGACAACTTATTTGGTTTGGCAGTGGGTGACAGTTGGACCCGAGCCATCCAAATAATGCCTTGGTTTGATTAGCAGATGGTTGTTGATCCAAACAATGCTAATTGGGCAAGAAACCAATAAATTTAGTATACTAATAATATTTTATCAATCTTAAAATGAATCAAACCTGAAGCCAGAGCCGAAGATGAGTGAGCGACAACGACAACATGAGGGTCCATCTGCTTATGCTCCTTTTGACTAGTCTTAGTGGGCTTCTCTTCTTAAATACCCAACTTCCATCCCCACATTTCACTCATATGGTAGAAATGAGCTCAGATCTCACTTCTCTTGATTCTCATCCACATGAAAGTAACCAACAAATAATACACCTACAATTCTACAAAATCCTTATCTAATTTACCACACTTAGGTGGCTGAAACCTCCACACCCTATGCTATTTCACTTTTCAGCTGATCTATCTAGGGGTGCACGTGAGTTGAATGAGTCGTTTTAGGCCTTAATAATCAGCTGATCCAAATGTACCATGTAGAGAATAAAAAACTTAGATGCAATCATAAAAAAAAATCAGCTTGTGAAAACATAGTTTGGATGGGCCGATTGGTATCATATATGTTCGGCGAAAACAAAGTAACATTAAAAAATACAGTCTCGGAGAGGAATTCGAATTTCAAAATAATATCTTTAAAGAGAAGAAAAGCAACAAAAAAGAGTATTTTAAATACTTTTGGAAGAGAAGAAAAGAAACAAAAAGTAGTTTTGGTAGAGAGTTGATGGAAAGATCAGTGCACAAAACTGTGAACGATTTCGAACTTAAGGG